TAAGGATGTCAATTTAAAGACTAAAATCTGTCTGGCATAATTCACAGTATTTTCAGTTACTTTTTATATATTTGAAAATTGGACAATAAACAAGTATGACAGAAGAAGAATTGAAGTTTTTGAAGTGTGGTGTTAGAAAAGAGGATTGAATATTCTAAAGACTGCCAGAAAAAGACAAAACAATCTGTCTTTGTTTTGGAGGAAGTGAAACCAGACTGCTCATTCAGGAAGGGGTTAGGCTTTGGGGAAGGAGAGAGAATGCTATACTGAGAAAGTTGGAAAGTCAGAGAAAGAGGATGACCCTCAACAAGATATAGGAGACAGTGACTATGACAATGAACTCCAGCATTTCAGAGGTGTCAGGATGATGCAGAACAGGGCAAGGTTCAGATCTGCTGGTCACAGGACCACTGATGGCACCTCACAACCATAAGACCTTTGTAATAAAATGCCCAATGTATGACAGAAGTCTCATGTCTTTCCTTTTAAGGACCACTGTGGTATAAATTGCAATTTAAATTTCTTTGTGAGAGTACTTAATATAGAAAGGAAGAAATAGAGAGGGAGTGAGAAAAATTATAACAGAAGAATGATTACATTTGTCTTTAATTAATTGATAATCATTGTTCTTTATTGTTTATCCTTCCCTGGTTTGATTGTGCTTACTTCCTTGATTGATTGAGTTTAGGAATGAAGAGAGGTTAGATCAACAATGAGCATTAAGTTGACCATTCAAAAAAAATCAATTATTCTTGCTTATTGAATTTAACCAATATTACTCTCTTATACCTCAGATCAATGTCAATAGTTGTAGAGAAGCTTCCAGTATTTTGTTTGTAGGGTCTCTAGGAGTCGTGCTTGACACAAAGATAATCAATAACAACAACATATTACCAATCCATAGCACGAATGGTAACCCACAATGTAGAGATCCCAATTGAGACTGACTAAGAAGCAGGATTAGCTATCCCTTTCTTAAATAGCAGAACTCTGAAAACCCTATGAAAAATAGAGAAATATGGATAATTACAGTACTAGGGGTGAGCCCACATTGAAAGTTAACCAAAATGAGGAAAAATAGTGACAAACTTCCTTTAATAATTGGGGCGTGGCAGGTACGAAGCATAAATGTTGAAAAACTAAAAGTTGTAAAAAATGAAATGGAACATATTTAACATCGACATTCTAGGAATTAGTGATATGAGATAGATTAGCTTTGGCCACTTTGAATCAGACAATCACATAATATGCTATGCTGGCAAAACAACTGAGTAAGCATGATGGTGAACTTATATTTTAAAACAAAATTTCAGGTTCTATCCTGACATGCAATGTTGTGAGTGATAAAATACATACGCATTCAAGGAAGAACTGTTGAAATAATTATTCAAATATGAGCTCCTACAACTCTGTATTAAGGGTAATTGGTGGGTGGAATCAACAGTTGAAAACAATGAAGAAAGAATGATAATCAGAAAGTGAGGGCTTGGTGGCAAAAATGAGGCTGGAAATAAAATGACCAAATTTTGTATGCACATTGCAAACACCTTTTCAAAATACACAAACAGTGACTTTACGCTTGGATCTCACCTCATGGACCGAAGAAGAATCAGATTGAATACATCGGTGGACAGAATCATTGGGGAAACTCAATATCAGCAGTTAAAACTGTGGAACAAACCATAAATTTCTCATGTACAACTTCAGAGTGGGGGGCAAAAAAATGAAATCTAGTAAATGAGAACCAAAATATAATCTTGAGTCTATCCCATCTGAATTTAAAAAAATCATCTTTAAAATAGGTTTGAGGCATTCAACAACAATGGTCAAATGAGTTGTGGGATGACATTAAGAATATCATCCATGAAGAGAGAAAATGGTCATTACAAAGACAGAGGCGAAATAAAAACCTAAAATGAATGTCAGAAGAGACCCTCAAAATTGTATTAGAGTACAATGAATGAATGAATGGAAATCCAACTCTTCTGTAAAATTTTGTTAAAATATCCATTAAAAATAATTTAAAAAGGAAAAATAAATTAAAAGCATATGAAGAGAAAAAAAACACTAAAGTGTTGTTGTTGTTGTTGTTGTTGTTGCTATGTGCCATCAAGTCGATTGCGACTCCTAACGACCCTATGTACAAGAGCCCTAAATGCCATTCTATCCTGTGCCAACCTCGCCGTCTCAAACACATTCATTCCCACCACTCCACTCACAGAATCGATCCTTCTCATCGAGGGTCTTCCTCTCCTGCGCCGTCCCTCCACTCTCCCAAACATGGCGTCCCTCTCCAAGGACCAGTCCCTCCTTGCAACATGCAGAGAAGCTAAACCAAAGGAAAAGAATGCTGAAGTAAAAGAGCTGAACAGAAGATTTTAAAAAAGAAGTTCAAGAAGACAAAGCAAAGTATTATAATGGAATGCTCAGAGAACTGGAATTGAAGAATAAAAAGGGAAGAATTTGCTTGGCATTTCTCAAGTTGAGGGAATTAAAAAACAAATTTAAGCCTCAAGTCACTATATCAAAGTTTACTACAGCAATATGTTAAATGGTCTAGTTAGCATTAAAAAAAGACAGAGGAAATACAGTCACTGTAAGAAAAAACAATTGACTGATATGGAAAAAATTCAGAAAGTATGCTATGAAAAAGAACCAACTATAATGAGGGAAGAAGTTGAAGCTACACTGAAGGAAATAGGAGGTGGGGGGAAGGCCCCAGGACTTAATAAGATACTGTTTGGCCTATGGCAATTAACAGATGCTGTCCTGGATATGCTCAGCAATCTATGCCAGGAAATGTGGAAGACATCTGCATTACTGACTGACTGACTGACTGACTGACTGCAATAGATCAGTATTTATTGCCATTCCTAAGAAAAGTGATCTAACAGAATGTGCAAATTATGGAACAATATCATTAGTATCACATGTAAGAAAAATATTGCTGAAGACCATTCTAAAATAGCTAGCACAGTACATAGATAGGAAACTGCCAGAAGTTCAAGAATTATTTAAGAGGCTGTGGCACTAGGGATATCATTGCTGATATCATATGGATTCTGGCTGAAAGGAAAGAATACCAAATAATGTCTGTTTATGCTGTGTTGACTGCAAAAGCATTTGACTGTGTGTACCATAATAAATTATGACTAACATTGAGAAAAATGGGAATCCTAGAATACTTAATTGTGTTAATGTAAAGTCAATACTTAGACCAAGTGGCTATTGTGCAAACAGAGCAAATACAAAATGGGCAAAAGACATGGAAAGAATTTTCACAGAGAAACATATTTGAACGGCAAACAGACACATGAAGAAATGCTCCAAATCACTGGCAATAAGAAAGATGCAAATCAAAACCAATGAGGTACTATCTCACTCCAGTTAGAATGGCAAAATTTAACAGGGCAGCAAGTTATAGATGTTGGAGAGGATGTGATGAGAAAGGAACTCATACGTTGTTGGTGGGATTGTAAAATGTTGCAACCATTCTGGAAGGCAGTTTGGCGCTTCCTCGAAAAGCTGAACACAGAAATTCCATATGACCCAGCTATCCCACTATTTGGAGTATACCCTGAGAATATGAGAACCGAGGCACAAACTGAGATTTGTACACCAAAGTTCATAGCAGGATTATTCACCATCTCAAGAACATGGAAACAGCCCGAATGTCCAACCACAAATGAATGGATTGAGAAATTATGGTACATTCACACAATGGAATACTATGCAACACACAGGAGCAATAACTTTGTAAATTATTACCTCACTTGGGAGGGACTAGAGAGCATTATGCTGAGTGAATTACTCAGTCCCACAAGGATAAATATTGTTTAAGACCATTATTGTACAATGAGTATAAGGATGCAGGATGAGTAGGAGAAGCTGGAAACAGAGGGATGTGGATGTACAGTGGAATGAGGGGATTCATCATTGGATTGTACAATTTTATAGACGGGGGTGAGGGAAATTGAAAGAATTTGTTCAAATTTGTATTAGAATTTTGTAAATAGTGAAAAAAATAAAACACATTAGATATACTAATCATAAAAAAGACTACATGGTTCAATATTCAGAAAGGGGAATTTCAGAATTATATCTTCTCTCCATACCTATTCAGTCTGAATGCTGAGCAAATTATTTGAGTAGCTGGACTCAACGTGGAGTCAGAATCAAAGGAAGACTAATCAATAACCTGCATTATGCAGAAGACACAATCTTTCTTGCTGCAAGAAAAGAGGATTTGAAGCACTTGTGTGGAAGATCAATGAATGCAGACTTCAACATGGATAACATCTAAATGTTAAGAAAACAAAAATTCTTACCACTGGACAATTTGGCAATATCATAATAGACAGAAAAATGATTGAAGTTGTCAACTTTGCCATCTTATTTGGATCAACAATGAACACCCTTGGTGCCAAGAGTTAGGGGATCAGAAAAATATTGTACTAGGAAAATTTGCAGTCAGAGACTTCATCAAATTATTTAGTAGTGATGTCATCTTGAGGACTAAGGTGCATATGATTCAGTCCATGGTTTTTTCAGTCACTTGTTAAGAATCTGAGATCTGAACAATTGTTAAGGGTGACAGAAAAATAATTGATGCCTTTGAGCTCTGGTGTTGGAGAAGAGTACTGAATTAGCCTGTGGTCTGCCTAAAGAACAAGAACACATATGTCTTGGAGAAGGTCAGAATGCTACTTAAAGGCTAAGATGATAAAGTTTCATCTTTTATACTTTTGAAAAGAGGCTCTTCCTCGGATAAAGGCAGTATACTTTGGATGATGGAAAGTCGGTGAAAGAGAGGCAGACCCTCAGCTAGATGGATTGACGTGGTGACTGCTGAAACAGGCTCAAGTGTGTCAGGGATTGTGAGGGTAGCACAGGTTAGGTCAGGTTTCAGATGTGTGGTTCATAGACCTCTATGGATTGTAATCAACTTGAAAGTACATAACAACAACAATCGACAGGCACTATCCATACTCACTTTTTCTTCAATTGCCAGGAAAGAGGTAGAAATATCTTGACAAGGAAACCCTATCCATAGTGGGCATTTGAGCTCTAATGTTTGGTTTTTCAAATGATCGCTGTACCTAAAAATAAAACAGAAAAGTCTCTGAGACATTCCTATTTGTATATTGACAGAAAATATATTGCTTGTTATACTAGTAAATGCTAGAGATGGTGAACACATCTGTGACTGATATTACCAATTCCACAAATACTTTGTCACTTTTATTCTTATATTAGAAGTGACACTCCATGCCAGCTTCTACTCATTGCACACACTATATGTGATCTAATGTCTTTGATTTCCACTTCCCTTATTTCCCTTTTCTCGAAATCTGGATCTCAGAGATTCCCTTCAGGAGTGATCTCTTATGTCCCCAAGACTCAAATTCCAAGTGTTCTTTAAGATTTGAGCAATAAGTAAACTCCACATCCTCCAATAAAGCTGACTCTGAAACCCTCTAGCAAGCACTGATTAGTGAAATCTTCCTAAACTTAAATGCATTATTTTATTAATTTTACCCAAGGAATATGCTTTAGTGTACAATGACTAATTCACACTTTATCATCAGATTTTCACTTATGATGTCTCTCTTCATAAAAACAATGTTAGGATATAATCTTCTCAAATATATAGAATGTAATGTCTGTCTTTTCTGATAGGAATGCTTCATACTTGAATTTTAAAGCCACTACAGCTTCCTTTGTTCTTATAACACTCACAATCCCTAACGATAGGATAGATTCACTCTTGGATGTATTTATTTATTCAGTGAACATTAATTAAATGTCTATAAGTTATCAGACATGATCACATATTAAAGGAAAAATGATTTTTAAAAAAAATTTGCATTCTTGCAAGTAAAAGACAAAAAAACAAAGTTTATTTAATAAAGCTAATTGTTTGAGAGAAGAGTTCTAGAAAAAGAAAATCTGGAAGGAAGAGGAAGAAATGACCCAAGTCTTGGAACAAACATCATGAATTCTCCTTTGGACCACTAAATTAAAGGTTGTCTCATTCCTTATTCCCTCTCAAATGTTCCAAGTAGTTTTGCTTGTTGTTGTTGTTGTTATGTGCCATCAAGTTGCTTGCGACTCATAGTGACCCTATGTACAAGAGCTCTAAATGCTGTTCTATCCTGTGCCAACCTTGCTGCGTCAAATGCACTTATTCCCACCACTTCAGTCACTGAATCGATCCATCTCATCAAAGGTCTTCCTCTCCTTCGCTGCCCCTCCACTCTGCCAAACATGATGTCACTCTCCAAAGACCAGACCCTCCTTGCAACATGCCCAAAATATGTCAGACGAAGCTTCAGAATCCTTGACTCCAGGGAACACTCTGGCTTCACCCTCTCCAGGACAAACCTGTTTGCTCTCCTAGCAGTCCATGGTATATTCAACACTCGACTCCAGCACCATAGTTCAATGGCATCAATCCTCTTTCTATCAACCCTATCACTGTCCAACACTCCGATGCATAGCACATAATTGCAAAGACTATAGCCCGGATCAGGCGCACCTTAGTCTCCAGCCCGACATCGTTGTTCTTCAGTACTCTTGAGAGGTCCCTCACAGCTGACTTTCCCAGTTCAATTCATCTCCTGATTTCCTGGCTGCTGTTACCAAGAGTGTTGACTGTGGAGCCAAGAAAATTAAAACTGTTAACTATCTCAATCTCTTCACCATCCACGCTGATGCTGCCAATTGGCCCAGTGGTTAGAATCTTTGTTTTCTTGACGTTGAGCTTCAGTCCATATAGGAGGCTGTAGTCTTTAATCTTCTGCAGCAAGCGCCTCAGGTCCTCCTCAGTTTCAGCAAGCAGGGTTGTGTCATATGCATAACGCAGGTTGTTGATGATTTTTCCACCAATCCTGATGCCACATTCCTCTTCTTATAGCCCAGCGTCTCGGATGATCTGTCCTGCATACAGATTGAAAAGGTATGGAGACAGAATACATCCCTGACGGACCCCCTTATTGATTTTGAACAATGTAGTGTCTCCTTGCTCTGTTCTGACAACTGCCTTTTGGTCCAAGTATAAGTTTCCTATTAGCACAATCAGATGCTCTTTGCTTACCAATCCTATTATGATCTTTAAACGTATGGTTGCTTGCTGTCTACTTGTTTAGTATTATTTCTTTTTAAGTATACTTACTAGAGTATAGGTTTTAGCATATTATGTCTCTGAGATTTATGAATTTATAGTCCTTAAGTGAGAATTTATCCTTATTAATATTTTATCCCATTTCCATTTCTATTATTGACATATTCTTTTCTGAAGACCAGGCAGTACGCATAAAGATGGTAGAGACTAAGCACCACTTTCATGTTATTCCTGTAATGAAGTTTTACCTTCACTTCTAGAATGTGTAATAATGCATGCCCTCTGAATGGATAAGTGAATGAGTAGGAAAGGGAAATAAAGATTACCTCCCGGAATACTTCTTCTAAATGAGAGCACCAAGAATATTTTTGGATGCATGTGACGAGTTGTGTAATGAAGGGAGAACCCTCCATTTCATATCTTGGGGATGCATTATCTGTGGAGATACAGAGTAGCAAATATTCACTAGTTAATATTTCATATTTAAAACAAAGCTTGAGAATTGTCTTTACAGGAACCCCTTATATCTAAATTAACTGATTTTCTCACAGGTAGGGGAAGAAATAGGTGGCAGATTGAACTACATAGGTAAGAGAGAATTAAAGAGAGTGTCTCCTGATTGTTTAGGATGACTTATAGTATACGGTTACATAAAAACAGTTAGCTTTGAAAAGACAATTCAGAGATGACTAGAATTCTTCCACTTTACAAAATAAAGAATTACAAACTCAAGAGGATTGAGTAACTTTCTCATAATCACAAGTGGGTAAGCAACAATGCTCTTACATATTATGCCTTGTCTATGATGATACAATGGGAAAAATCAACACATATTCATTTAAAAAGTCTCTCTTCATACCACAGATTAAAAATATAAAATATGTCAAAATGGAAAGTTTCTTCCATACTCTTACTATGTGAGAACTGTCTTGGTTTTGTAGAATCATTCAGAGATTGGCTAACAACTTTCAATCCTATCTGTCACAAAAGTTACCTACGTGGTGTTGTGGAGTAGAAAGCAATGAAGTCTTTCTCCATGTGGTTCACTGTAACGCTATCCAATCTCAGCATACCGGCTGACCTTGAAAGCATATTAGCTGTAGCCCCAAGACTATCAAGAGAATACAATTCTCCCCTATTTTCTGTAGAGACATCAACATTGCATATATTACTCTGTTTCTTTCATTATTACTATTAACAATTACTTATCTCATTTTTTCTTATTGTTTGTTCTAATTGACTATATACACACACACAAATATCTATCACTCTCTCTGTCTTCTCTTCAGTGTCATTGAGCAATGAGTTGAAAATAGAGAAAATTTCATAGACCAAAAGAATAAAAAAAAGAAAAAACCCACAAGAATAAATTTATTAGATTATTGGATAATTTCAGAGTACAGATAACATTGTTAGGTAAATTATTTCTGCCTCTTTTTCTCTTGAAACGTCTCTATATATATAGCTAGTAGCTATTTGGCAATCAGGTAAAAAAAAAGAAGAAAGTAAAATTTGACTGTAATCTCACCAAACCCCACAACTTTCTATTCTTGTATTTTCAATAATGCATGAGAAGTAGGGTGGAAAAGGAAAAAACACAACTATACAAAAGCAAACAAAAAATGTGATGCATTTACAAAATGGCTATATTTTAGAATTAAATTCTTCTCAACCCAGGAATTGTCAAAAAGTCCATAAAAATTTATGAGTAAATCTGTCCAAAACACAATTTCATTTCAAGGCTCATTTAGTTTCATTAAATAATGATTTAAAGGTACTGGCAGTTTCTTCACCACTTTGCTATGGATTAAATTTCATAGAAATAGAAACTTTTAACCTACCAGATATGTTTTCATGATGCCAGCCCCTTGGATGGCATTGCCAATTGACACAGTTTAGTTTAATTATATAGGCTGGAGCTTAAGATTGCTTTCCTGAGATCAAAAATGTGGATCAAAACCCTCTGTAAGCCAATCTTTTACCTTTGTGTTTCCAGTGCACAACTCACCACCTCTGCAGGCCTGCACAATGATGACCTTGGGCTTGTCTTTTAGATTTTCACAGTTTAAGTTGTTGAAAATACAGAAGATAGTGTCATAAGATAACACATCTGGTTGTTTTTCACTATGTGTAGTTCCACATATTCCCTCCAGGATACCATGAGACATGAACACCAGGAATGTGCTGTCTGAAGAGTTGTGCTCTGGGAGCCCAGCGAACTCCTTCAGTACTGACTGCATCTCCTGAGAAGAACACCATGGTTTATTTAATCACAAGCATTGGACTGTAAGTAACTTTCTAGGTTTACTCTCGGCATTACAAGAAGCATGTGTAAACTCCCTACTATATATATTGCAGCTTCTTGCCACCAGAGCTCCACTCAATGATGAGAGTTACATTATTTTTATTGCTACAACTGGACAGACGTACTCTAGTTAAGTGTTGAACTGCTAACTATGTCAGCGATTTGAATCAATCTGTTGGTCTTCAAAGTAAGATATGATAATCACCTTCATTTGAAATTTATAGCCAGTGAAACTGCATGAAAGGTCAGCATGACTAAAACTAGGTGCAATTGCAGTGGGTTTGAGTTATCTTGCAAATGTATTTATCACCACTCTCTCTACACTTTCCATTCAATCTCCATTTCCCCCAGTATCAAACAGTATGTCATTATAGTATTACAGCACTTCTCTTCAAAAGCTCTTGCCACTGTACTTGGAATAAAACTAAACTCTTGTCTCATTGTTCATGCCCCCTCCATTTAAGACTCTACTTGCACTGATTTTCCAGGACTGCCATTCATATCTCAACTTACTTTTATTTTATCTTTTACCTGGATTGTCCCAGGTTGGAATACACCTCAATCTCATCTTTCCAGTGTCTGGTAGTCATGACTAGGAAATTATATGAGTTCCTCCATCTTACACCTTGGTCACTACAATTGATCAGTCTCACTTTCACTAATTTTCTTTTATCCTTTTCTCTCATTTTCCCTTTTTAAAATGTCATTTTCCACTTTCTGAGATTACCTGTTTGATTATATTTTGACTGTCTTTGTTCACTAGAACATGAGACTGATGAAAGTTGGAAACTTAAAGAACAGTCTGTCCCAGGCGAGTGAACTCAGTGTTTGATGAATGCAAAGGGTAATTCTGCCAAACAGTTTATATTTCTAGAAGTACCTGGTAATTATAAAGACTTCATCCCAGAGACTAAACCTGGGAAACAAAAATGTGCAATCGAATGTGCTTCTCACTTTCTGTCCAATGTCATAGAATTAAGGATATTTGAAGCACAATAGAAATTTACTGTTCAATGAGTGATATTCTTCATTTCAAGCAGACACACAGGCACATACAATCAAATGTATCCTGTGGCTCTCTTTAGGCTACAATGCTTCAGATGGAAATAAATATTAAGTATATATGGTTTGAGATGAGCGAAGGGTCTTTACCACAGCTGTGAGTTGTTTTTCCACCTTCACCCTATAGTCCAGGCTCTCAAGCAACATTGTCATCCTTTTGATGTCAAGGTCAGCCCCACCTCTCCTATTAAGACTTTCAAAGTCTGTATTACAGATAATGAGGGCTAATCGTGTGCGGTCATTCTTCTCTTTAATTGGATAGATCTGCAAGAAATGAATATTCTGTGAGTTTTCTTCACCTGAGTCTCCTAAATGTCAAAAACTAAATCAGTGCTGTTTTGTAAAGATGCCTCTTTTCCTTTACCTTGACCCTATGACACTATCTTCCTTCCACGTTGTTAACAGAAGGGAAAGACTACACCCAAGCCTCCCCCACAGTTACAGTGTTCTTGGGATTCAGAGGAACCTTACAGAACAGAATAGAACTGGCCCTTTCAGTTTTCAATACTATAAATCTTGTCAAAAGCGGACTGCGTCTTTCCTCTGTAGAGTAGCTGATGTATTTGAATCATTACCTTTTGGTAAGAAGCTTACACTTAAACCATGAAGGATTTGTGCAGTGGAATATTTTTAGGATCTCAAAGTAGAAACCAGAACATATTTGGTATAGTTACTCAAGGGTCTTGGCAAAGGTAAAATCATTTCTTTCCTCCCTTTTTCTCCACTTACTAAAATATTTTTATGCAATCAAGTTTGAGATAAATGTCTATAAACTAGGAAACATTCTTTCTTGACTCTAGCAAAAAACGCATGGGAGATCTTTCTTTTCCTTTTGTAATGTTTTACAGTGTTATTTTTAATACATTGATTTACAATGTTTATATGTTTGGATTAAATATAAATGTATACTATTGTTGTTAGGCATCTTTGAGTTGACCATGACCCGTAGTGATGCCATGAACAGCAAATCTGTACCCTGACTTGTGTATATGTATAAAATCTAGTATGTTTAAATAGAATAAACAATCACTATTCAGCTCTGGTGTTTTATAAATATTTTCATTCCATGACTACAGTTAAAATTGCCTTCTGTATTTCATCATGGCTTTAAAGAGAATTTGAATGAAGAGACCTTGAGATCCTATTTTTTCTCACTATATCTATTAAAACATGTTATCGCTGATGTTTACAATTAGTATTTTAAGGAATTACACTTTTATCTAAAGCAATTCTCCTTGCCTCTTATTCTCTCATGCTCTCCCATCCACATTTTTGTTTAAATACAGACCACAGCACCTTTCCAGCCATTTTATCTCTTAGTTTCAGGAAATTTTCACGAGGACAAGTCTTCAGGATACCAGTGGATTCATCTGATTCATCTGGTCCAGTATCTTCTTCCAGAACAACTACATTGTATGTCATAAAATGAAAGCTATTACTTAGTTCTCAGTTTTCTAATTATTAATAGTATTGACAGAAAAGGGACATTCAACAAAAGAGATTTTAAACATGTAGGATGTTTAGTACAGAAATAAGTCCTTGGTAGAGAATATAATCTCTATGAGAGAGATCTTCCAAAAGAGAAAGCTTGAAAATTCCAGAAAAATCTGACAAGAATCAAGAATACATACATTCCTTCAGGATTGCAGTGCAGCTTCTTGCTACTAACCCACCAGAGCTTCTTAGTAATTTACTGAATATATTAATTACCTGGATCTTTATAGAAAAGTATATTAACTTACTTGTTCTCTAAAAAATAGACAATTATGCCTCATTAACTCAAATTGCTTATATCCTCCTTGAACCTTTTTGTGATAATGTCCACCTTTATGCTCTACCTCCGGAAGTTAGTGGAAAGCTGCTGGTGGGGGCCTATAAAACTCTGTGACTCTTAAGAAACCCCACAAAGCCCAGCACCAGGGACCTCTGTGAACACATGTGTTTCACTAATCATATAAAAAGATCCATATTACTTCAATTATTTTCCTATTTCATTCAAAATGTCTCCCAGTTCAGAAGGTACATGGTTTTAACAAAAATTCAAAGCAGAAAGCAAGTCTCCTTTGAAAGTGTTACATTTGAGGCTTCTAGACTTCCAGAAATTAATCCCTGGGCAAAGCTACAGTTCGGTAGAAAGTGGTTTTCTACCTAAAGTGGTTTCCCCCCCTCCTATTGCTCATTCTGTATCTGGAAATGATATACAGTCCATACTGTACAGTCAGAGGAACCCAGATCAAATAAGTGTTGTTTTTGTTGTATCCTGTTGAGTTGGAATTAACTCATTGCTAACATTTCAGTGGGTTTTGAGAGGCAGTAAATTGCAGGGGAGGATATTGCCCATCATTCTCCACAGGGGAGCTGGTAGATTCCAGCTGTATAGCTTAGTGTCATCTATTAATTTTAAAAATACATGCTGAGCATGTTTTTATGTGTGAGCTATGATATCTCTCAGTTAGAGATATGTTGATGAACAAAGCAAATATTTCTGCTTGACGGAGATTACACTGTGGCAAGGAGAGATATGCAGAGGTACATTATAGTGAACATATACAAATCATTGGGAAAAGAAAATATGCAGTAGTGTAAAGCCATTGGGAATTCTCAAATGGGATAGGGTGGGTCAAGGCTTTTTTTTGTTTCAGTACTAAATGGAATAGAAAAGCAGGGCGGAGGGTGGAAATCTGTTCTAGAGATGGGGATAGTTTACACACTGCATGCAAACAAGAAACAATAAAGACATCACCTATTCATAAGAATAATACAGATATCATCCACACTTAGACTCCAGATACTCACTTAAACTCAGCTGTTTCTGGGGTTTGGAGAAGTGGTTTTTAAATATTTTGGCTGTCTTTTCAGTTTTCTGATCAATATCTTCAAATAGGCTCACAGTTGCAGCTGCAATGTTGAATATGTCTGTCCCTAAACTTCTTAAATAATTTTCATCTATCACATTCTTCTCCTTGAAGTCAGATAAAATGCCACCAACCAGGTTCTTGGCCATTGACTTCAATGTATCCACAGAATCCTTTTGGAGTGGTTTGCAATCTAGGAAAATAACATACAGATAAGAAGAGAGTTTTAGATATCAAATTCTGTTTCAGAGGTTATCAGCTTTTTATTTGCATATGAATAATTTGAAAATCATGTAAAAGAGTAGATTCCTATACCCAATTCCAAGAAAGGTCAAGATGTGGTCTAATAATTTCACAAGTGTTCACAAAACTGCTGGTCTAGGGGAGCTCTGGTGGCCTAATGGTAAGAAGCTGCACTGCATTTCCAGAGGAGCGCAGTTCGAATCCACCAGATGCTCTGCTGGAGAAGGAGGAACAATCTCCTCCTGTATAAGTCAGATCTGATTTGATCGTATACACACACACACACACACACACACACACACACACACACAACAAAAACCAACCAACCAACAAACAAAATAACCTTGGTGGTTTAAGGATCACACTTAGAGAAACACTGATGTTCTAACCTCCCCTTTTCCCTTTACATGTGGGGAAAGCAAAAGTACAGATGAGTGCAGCTACTTCAATAAAGAGCTTTATGATAACGGAAAAAGATCAGCTTTTACATTACCCATAAATCCTTTATTTGTGGCTACTTTTATCACTAGCAATGTGTGTAGTAGTAAAATATGAATATATTATATCTATAGGATGGTAGATTTTTGGTTTAATTATCTGAGAATTATCTACATGCAGAGGTTGAGAGCACATGTTATTGTTTGCTCTCTGGTAGCAATGAAAGTTCATGGAGAAAACAAAATATGGAGGAATGCCAAGATATTCTTTTAAATTGCATGGCCTCTCACAGACAAATCAGAATGCAAATTTTTAGAACAATTCTAAAGCAAGTGAGAGTTCCAGTTCAATATGTATGAATGCTCAAAACAAGTCTTAAATTAAACATTAGTTCATATTTTCATTTCTCTTTACAGAATATGCAACCTATTAACTAAAATACTTTGTTAGCACTCTCATTAGTGTGCTGTTTATACTTGCATTTCCTTCCATTCCCAGGGTGAAACTGTTGGGTCACACTAGTTCCTTTTCAAGTCTCTTTCTCCAAAACTGTACTCTCACCCCAACACTGTCATGTTGTTGTTGTTATTAAGTGTTGTCGAGTTGTAGACAACTCATAGCGACCTTATGACCGAAAGACCTGAACACTTGTATAACTTTCATTGTTTCTCCAAGTTCATAGAGTTTCTGGAGGCAAGCTATTTTGGAAGTGGATGCCACTCTTGCCTCCAAGCTTATTTTAATTGAGGAGCTCCACCAAACACTGTCCACCATGGGTAACCATTATCACATTTGACACATTAGTGTCACAGTGTTTAGCATCACAGCAACCACGAGTTACCTCTGTACAGAAAATGGACAGACCAGTGCTATACCACTTAGAAGAATGTTTGACCAAAACCAAAACCAAGCCTGAGGGTCGCAGATTAAAATCACCCACCTTTGACTCGGTAGCATTAACTTTCTATCCACCAGACCCACAGAGCTCTCTCTATGTTGGTGTTGGTGTTGTTAAGTGTCATCGAGTCGTAGACAACTGATAGCAACTCTATGAATGAAAGACCTGAACACTTGTATAACTCTCATAGTAATAGCTTGATAGCTTGCCTCCAGAACACTACCATAGCCAACAACAAAAACAAAACATTTCACTAGTCATGGCTTCTGGGGCTCCCTGGACAGTGGGAAACACGATTTAAAAAAAAAAAGAATTCTATATAATTTTATTTCCTTTCCCCCTGCAAACAGCATGTTGATACTTTCTAAGTAAGTGACTACAGCTTCTCAAATTCCTTGATTTCTGTCAAAGTCCTCCCACTTTGCCTACTCCCATATAGATTCCTTCAGTTCAGGAACAGGAAGCAATTCTTGTCTTTTCTCTATGTTGTACTACAATTTCAGAACACACACGTACAAGTTGTTCTTACATTACTTTCCAATTTTTTGAGGGTTTTGTTTTTTTGGGATTTTTGTTGTTGTTGTCGTTTGATTATTTTTAAGAAATATATTCAGTAAGTAAAATTAAAACACCTACTTGGGCATATCACAAAGTAGAAATTCTACAGGTCATAAAATCTCCCAGTCAAAAAAATTCTGGTCAATTCCACTTCACTAATAAATTTTACCAATCATTTTGAGAGGTGCTGACATCAATTCCACTTAAACTGTTTCAGAATATGGAATACAATAGAATACTTTGAAATTCACTACATATCATAGACACAATGGACAAGTGAAAGGCAATAAAATAATTTCTGATTGCAGATAATCAATCTTAGAGAGAGAGGATTATGATGCACGAGTAAGTTGAAAATTTTAGGAAAGTGATAGGGTACAAGATTAGCATTAAAAAAATCCCATGTTGGATTGCTTTGTTGTCATTGTTGTTAAGTGCTTTGGAGTTGATGACAACTCATAGCAACTCTATGAATGAAAGACCTGAACCCTGTGGATTATAGTAACAATTAAAACTCTGAAAAGGTAAATAAGGAAAATAATGTCATTTACAAATGCAACTTAAAAGAAAAAAGCATTTAGGAATGAACTACATAAAAGGCCTATATAAAGAAAGATATAAACCACTACCGTAGGAAACCAAAGAGACCTACATAAATGGAAGAACATAGACTTGGGGAGGAGGGCTTAACATTGTAAAGAGGCCAATATTCCACAAAAGCATTCTATAGATACCTCTCAAGGTCACCTGAAATTCCATCATCATTCTCAAAAAAGATGTAAACAGCAATCACCAATTTTATATAGAAATAAAATAACTATTGGGCAAACAGAGACACTGAAGAAGAAAAAAAAAAGGTCTTACACTTATGATCTCAAAATGTACTATACAGGATGATAAAAACAAATCTTGGTACTTACATATTAACAGACACCCAGAGAACTGAGGTCTTACAATTAAATACATGTACCTATGGATGAGTATAACTTTCTCGGCTCTATAATCAACACTCTTGGTACCAACACTTAGGAAATCAAAAGATAAATTTCACTGGAAAATCTGCTGTTAGGGAGCCTCTCCAGAGTTCTGAGAAGCATTGGTGTCAATCTAGAGACTAAGGTCCAACGGATGCAGGCCATGGTCTTTGCAATTACTTGCTAGTCATCAAAGAACTGGACAATGACTAAGGATAACAGAAGAAGAATTGTTGCCTTTGAGTTTTTACGCTGGAGAAGAGTCTTGATTATACCATGAACCAGAAAGAAAACAAATGAGTCTGTCTTGGAAAGGGTGAAAACAAGTTTCTCCTTGGAGGCTAGGATTTTGAAGCTCTGTCTCATTTACTTTGGGAATATTAACTAGGAGGGACCAGTCCTTGGAGGACATTAGTCTAGGTAAGGTCCAAAGACAACAACAACATGGACAGCTAATCTTTGACAATGAAGTGAAGTCCATTAAACTGGGAAAATATAGTCTCTTTCACAAATGATGATGGTTATACTGGGTATGTATTTGCAGAAAATTGAAATAAGATCAATGTCTCACATCATATAAAAAACAAACTCAAGACAGATCAAAAAGTTAGGCATAAAACCTAAATTATAAGGATAATAATGAAAAGGGGCAGATTTAGGAACCTAAATATACAGAATAAATTGATTATCAAATACTATAGGAAAAAACTATCTCAGTCTAGAGACTGAGTGTGCCTGATACAGGCGTCACAATTATTTGCTATGTGTCAGAGAGCTGGACAATGACTTAGGATGATAGAAGAATCAATGCCTTAAAGTTGTGTTGCTGGACAAGAATCTTGAACATACTATGGACTGCCAGGAAAACAAACAGATCTATCCAAGAGAGGGTGAAACCAAGCTGCTCCCTGGTAGGAAGAATTTTGAGGTTCCTTCTCACATACTTTAGGCAGATGGTCTGAGGGAACAAGTCCTTGGAGAGTGACATCATGCTTGGAAGGGTGGAGGGATAGCACAAGAGAGGGAAGCCCCAGGATGAGATGGATTAAGTCAATGACTGTTGTTGTTTGTTGTTATGTGCCATCGAGTCGCCTGCGACTCATAGCGACCCTAGGTACAACAGCCCTAAACTCCGCTCTGTCCTGTGCCAATCGCACTGTCTCTGACACTCCCATCCCAATTATCCCAGTCACTGAATCAATCCACCTCATAGAGGGCCTTCCTCTCCTGCGCTGTCCCTCCACCCTCCCAAGCATGATGTCCCTCTCTAAGGACCGGTCTCTCCTCACAACATGTCCAAAGTAAGTTAGACGGAGCCTCAGAATCCTTGCCTCCAAGGAGCCACCCGGTTTAACCCTCTCCAGGACAAATCTGTTTGTTTTCCTAGCAGTCCATGGTATTCTCAATACTCTTCTCCAGCATCACAGCTCAAAGGCATCAATTCTCCTTCTATCCTCCTTGGTCATTGTCCAACTCTCTGATGCATAACAGGTGATTGCGAAGACCATGGCCTGTATCAGACGCACCTTAGTCTCCAGAGAGACACCACTGCTCTTCAACACTTTGGAGAGGTCCCTAACAGCTGACTTTCCCATGGCAATGCGCCTTTTAATTTCCTGGCTGCTGGTGCCAAGACTGTTGACTATGGAGCCAAGCAAACTAAAGCTGTGTACAATCTCAATCTCTTCACCATCCATCCTGATGCTGCCAATTGGTCCAGTGGTGAGAATCTTTGTCTTCTTGACATTGAGCCTCAATCTATATTGTAGGCTGCAGTCCTTGACACTCTGCAGCAGGTGCTTCAGGTCCTCCTCAGTTTCAGCAAGCAGGGTTGTGTCATCTGCATAACTCAAATTGTTGATAAATCGTCCCCCAATCTTGACCCCACATTTCTCCTCATAGAGCCCAGCCTCCCGGATAATCTGTTCTGTATATAAGATGAAAAGGTATGGAGATAGGATGCATCCCTGGAGTACGCCCTTCCCAATTTTGAACCATGCAGTGTTCCCTTGCTCTGTTCTGACGACTGCCTCCTGGTCCAAGTATAAGTTGCGCATTAGAACGATCAAGTGTTCTGGGATT